GTATGTAGTGTCTCTACTTTAAAGAGTCCTCTCCTGCTGATGTTCAGGTGTATATCAGTATGTAGTGTCTCTACTTTAAAGAGTCCTCTCCTGCTGATGTTCAGGTGTATATCAGTATGTAGTGTCTCTACTTTAAAGAGTCCTCTCCTGCTGATGTTCAGGTGTATATCAGTATGTAGTGTCTCTACTTTAAAGAGTCCTCTCCTGCTGATGTTCAGGTGTATATCAGTATGTAGTGTCTCTACTTTAAAGAGTCCTCTCCTGCTGATGTTCAGGTGTATATCAGTATGTATGTAGTGTCTCTACTTTAAAGAGTCCTCTCCTGCTGATGTTCAGGTGTATATCAGTATGTAGTGTCTCTACTTTAAAGAGTCCTCTCCTGCTGATGTTCAGGTGTATATCAGTATGTAGTGTCTCTACTTTAAAGAGTCCTCTCCTGCTGATGTTCAGGTGTATATCAGTATGTAGTGTCTCTACTTTAAAGAGTCCTCTCCTGCTGATGTTCAGGTGTATATCAGTATGTAGTGTCTCTCCACTTTAAAGAGTCCTCTCCTGCTGATGTTCAGGTGTATATCAGTATGTAGTGTCTCTACTTTAAAGAGTCCTCTCCTGCTGATGTTCAGGTGTATATCAGTATGTAGTGTCTCTACTTTAAAGAGTCCTCTTCTGCTGATGTTCAGGTGTATATCAGTATGTAGTGTCTCTACTTTAAAGAGTCCTCTCCTGCTGATGTTCAGGTGTATATCAGTATGTAGTGTCTCTACTTTAAAGAGCCCTCTTCTGCTGATGTTCAGGTGTATATCAGTATGTAGTGTCTCTACTTTAAAGAGTCCTCTCCTGCTGATGTTCAGGTGTATATCAGTATGTAGTGTATCTACTTTAAAGAGTCCTCTCCTGCTGATGTTAAGGAACCTTTATGACTTTTTAAATGACAGGAGTTATATGCTTTAGATATTTATAATACTGATGGTTAAAAGTTGTTATAATAAAATACATTTGTTTGTCCTTCTGGTTTGTGTTCCTTGGTGTTATTAAGTGTAATTCCTCAAAGGGCTTCTGTGTAAAAAAAAGAAGTAACTTTTTGTTTGTTTCTGATTTTACTCTGTGTTTTTAGTTCAGTCTTTTCGATTTTCCTTGATGGAGTCCAGGCTGACCGACATCAACAACAACACTACAGGTTGAGTTTGATTTACTTCAATATTTCCATTAAGGATTCGGTCATAAATGATATAAACTAATCAGATATTTACTGTTTTCTCGTCAGAGTTGGAGGTCAAACTGGGTGCCGGTGTGAAACAACTGGAAGGTCTGAGGACAGGTAACATACTGAAGTTGTATATGAATGTATAATTATATTTGAGTATATGTTAATGGGAGGGAACTAATTGATGTCACCATAAAAATTGTTGTTGTTGTGTGTATTCATATTTTTTCTTATTGCAGGTTTTCTGATATGTTATGTTAAAATATACAAATGAGGCGATATTTAAGTTTTTGTATATTTAGGAGAAATCTTCAGTCGCAAATAGAAAATGATTATTAAAATATATCCTATAATGTGTATTTCAATTGTTTCTTTTTACATAAAAGTGCAAGAACAAAGGATATTTTTAGTACATGCGATACGTCCATCAGACATTGTGATTTTCATTAAAACAAGGGTTATTTTTGATATCAATGATTAGGATATTTTCTGTGCTTCTCTTTAGAGCTGGAGGTCAGACTGAGTGCCAATGAGGAACAGCTGGAAGATTTGAAAACACAAAACACAGGTAAAACTGAAGGTTTTAAACTATCTGTAGATGTATTTCAATGTATTATTACTATATGTGTAAAACATGTTGACATTTTTTTGTTCTGATATTGTGTTTTTAGTTCAGTCGGTTCAACTTTCCTTGATAAATTCCAGTCTGACAGAAAGTCACAACAACACTACAGGTAGAGTAATATTGACTTGCTTATTTTAAGTAATACTTATCAGCTAATCATGCACGAATGTAATTTATAAATATATCATTTTGTTTTGCAGCTTTGGAGGTCAAACTGAGATCCACTGAAACACAGCTGGAGCAGCAAACTGCAGGTAACATCTTCAACTCTTTAATATAACCTTTTTGAGTAATTATTTATTAAATCATTGAATAAACATGAATTATTTTACTCTTCAGCTCTGGAGGTCAGACTGGATGTCAGTGAGAAACAGCTGGAAGATCTGAAAACAGAAAACACAGGTAACACTCTAACTTTGTTTACATTGAAATTGTAGAGCAGCGGTTCCCAACCTGTGGGCCGCGGCCCCCTAGTGGTCCGCGAAGGCATTGCAAGTGGGCTGCCAAATAATTTTAATTTGTAATCTTTTAATTTAATTTTTTTTAAAAGCCACCCCTTGATTTTCTGTGGCAATAATATTTTCCAAAATAAATTGTATTTTGAATCTGCTCTTCAAACACCTTCAATTAAGATTACTCCTTGATTGACTTTAAAAAATATGTATTTTAGCCAGTAGAATAGTTGTATTTATTAACTGTGTGCGGTCTTCATCTAAAAGCCAAAATAAAATATTAAAGGGTGTAAATGTAAATTCAATATTTGCCCCTTAATAATTTGCAAAACATTATGATTTGTGTGGAAACATTTTCATTATTAAGATTTTTTTTTATTTGAACCTTTTTTCCTTTCTCTTTCTTGATCCTCCTTAACAACGGTCATTACAGTCCTTAGCAACGGTCATTACAGTCCTTGACAGCGGTCTGTTCTACTGGATTTACAACGTGTCACATGTTCTGAATTGTTCTGAACTTTATTTAGCCTCCGTATTGTTTATGGTTGAATATGGATGGGCCGTTAAACTATTAACTATAATAACTTTAATCTAAAACCAATTTAACTACCCTAACTAAAAATTTACTGAAACAAGAAAACACGTTTTAAATTAATCAAAGGAAACTTAACACACTATATAAACATCCTACAAATGTACTAAAACTATCAATTAAAACTTATCTTAACTCATTGAAAATGTACTAACTTACTATAAACTATTAATAACGTTAACCTAAAACTTAACTAAAACTAATTTAACTAGCTAACACTGAAAACTAAAACTTTGTGCCCGCTGCTCTTAAGGCGACCCAGTTGTCGGTGGATCCGATAACGCTAAGCTTCTGCGGCGCGGTGTAGGATGCTGCTACGGTTTGGGAGGCAGGAGTTTCACGGCGGCGATGGAAGGCAGGGGGACGGTCTTTAGGAGTTCTGGCAAACGCTCGGACTTGATGAGGACACAATTTGGCCGAGGTCTGTAGCCGGAGAAACCCTGGTCCTTGGCGGTTTCCTCAGCGGGGTATCTGGGCTTTTTGGAGATGGGGGGCAAGGGCGTCTGCTGGTTCATGTCACCAGACTCCGACTTCCTGAGTTTCTCCGCCAGCCTCCTGGTCTCCTCTTTAGCCTTCAAGTGGTCCATCTTCAGGGCCTTTCTCTCCTCTTCCACTCTCTGGTTCTCCTCCTTCAGGTTGTCGTACTCCGCCTGGTACATCCCGAGGCTTCCCTTCAATGCCATCAGCTCTTTGTTCAGGCGCCTGTTGTCCCAGCCGAACAGCTGCATCTTCTGTATGGCGTCGTCCGGCCGGCGGGCCAACATGCGCCGGAGCTCCTGGATCACCTCGTCCTTTTGCTCCAGGAGACGTACGCTCTGAGGTTTCCCAGTGAGCAGATAAAGGCGGTGCTGGGCCTTCATCACTTTCACATAGGCGTGAGCGCTCTTCTTCTTCTCCCGAGTCCACTCCCGCCGGGAAGTGTGTTCACTCGCACCCGGCACTTGAACGTTGCACTTGAGCTTGAGCCTCTTCATCTCCAGCCACATTTGCCTTTTTTGGAGCTCATGCTCTTTGATGGTGAGTCTGTGCGCCTCCTGGCAGCTTCTCTCCTGGTTGAGTCTCAGCTGCAGCCGCACCACCGTTTCCTCTCGTGTCTGCAGCTCGTTCTCCAGCGTCTCCTTCTCCGCTGCCATCTTGGCCAACTTCATCTCCCCCAGCATCTGGTCCCTGTCGGCAGAAACCACGCACACGTCCTGCGTCATTTTGCTTTCCACCAAATACTGGCTGACTTTCTGCAGCCGGCTCTTCACGCAGCGCCTCTCCATCCTCAACCTGGCCAGCTTCACCCTCTGAACGTCGGTCTCGCAGGTCTGATCTTGGAGTTTCTCCTGCAGTTGATGAATCGTTTTGTTGAGCAAAGATTTCTGCGCCTGTTCCTTAAGCTGGTGGTTTTGATGCTGAAGCATTTATAGCCGGTCAGCTCCTCCACATTATGAGACAGTTTCTCCACCAGTATATTCAGCATCCTGTTCTCCTTTTTGATGGTTTCCAAACAATTACAGTC